TTTCTCTTTGTCATCATCACATTGCACAAATAATAATCTCAACTTGTGCATTGTTTTAACTAGATAACATATTGATAATCGATTCTTAATAGATATTTGAAGTTCGTCACATTTTGTTTCTCATCGTATGATGATCTGAGCTCTGGTAGACAGAGTCATTTTATTGATGTATTCTTAACTTCTAATAATAGATATGCTATAGAATTGGCTTGAAAAGAATTCCAAACAGTCTAAGAATGATAGATGAGATGCACAAGAAATTAAAAGTTGAATTTGTTTTTGACATTCTTCACTATTATTATTCAAGGGTGGATGTGGGTGTAGGTGGGTGTGGGTGGGTGTGGGTGGGTGTGGGTGTGGGTGGGTGTGGGTGGGTGTGGGTGTGGGTGTGGGTGTGGGTGTGTGGGTGGCTGGGTGTGGGTGTGGTGGGGTGTGTGGTGTGGGTGTGGGTGTGTGGGTGCGGGTGTAGGTGTGAGTGTCGATGTGGGTGAGAGTGTGGGGTGTGGATGTGGGGGATGCAGGGGTGGGGTTGGGGGTTGGGTAGATGTCGGCGTGGATGTGCGTGCGTGTGCGGGTGGCCGTTGGGTGTGGGTATGGCTGCGGGTCTGGGTGTAGGCGTGGGTTTGGTGCGTGGGTCTAAGAAGGTTAACTACTACACTCACCCCAACCCCCATAACCACACCCGCATCCGCACCCTATAATCACACTCACACTGGCCCACACCCCACAGCCCACATCCACGCCCACACTCACGTCTACACCTACACCCACACCCTTATAATTGTTTCAACATAAGAAAGAGTTAAATGAAAATATTTCAATAGTTGACTTAATATCGTATTGATATTTCTGATAGATTTATTTTATAGAAAATTATATTTAAAAATCAATACTTTTTATTTTTATTTTTTATTCATATTCTATGAAGATTTACACAAAATAAAAAATAATATTTACATTAACAGAAAGAATGTTTAATTCTATTTTATATTTGTTGATCTACATCATCTAAAGAAAATTCTTTAGGAACGAATAAAAAACGCTTGTCTATCTTATTAATAAAGTTTCGTATGAAAAAACATGTTTTTATGTACTATAAAATCTATGAATAGATAAAGGTTTCAAATTTCTTTTTGCTTCAAAATCGTAAACAACAAAATGAAATTCAATGGTAATCGATATGCTACAAAGTCATATAATATATACAAAAAAAACATGTTAGCGCAGTCCAATGCGACTGAAATGTAGAATTCACATATGCCCTCTAACGTCCTTAAACTAATAGAAAATGCGTCAAGTGAAAAATGTTTTGCATACTATAGTTTTTTATAGGATAATCGATCGATCGCGTAAGAAACTCTAAATTTTGTATCTCGAACAAACAGTTTTTCATTATTTTTCAAGATTAAAATTTTATCAATTTTTAAAAACCTTTTAGAAATCTTATGCCGATTTTTTTCGGTTGCTAAAATCTGTAATGGGAAGGTGGAAAGGGGAGCTCCAAAGCTTCGACTTAAAACTTACACTCACTATTTTGTTCGAAAACATGTGACTTTCACAAAACATCTATACTATTAATTAAATAATAGGATAAATTAAAATTTCAAGTATTTTTATATTCGGTAAATGAAAATTAAGTATTTCTTCTTATAATGTCTGTTTTGATCTGCAGGAAAGATTAAGTTTTGTCCTCCTTATCATTATTCAAGCTTCTACATGCACAAGTAACGTTCATCGTCAAGCGATTCACTGAGCCCTAGACTGATAGAATACATGTACGGAAGGAATAGCATAAAAAGCTACATTAAAAAAGTAATACGCAACATTGATAATATGACCAGTATACCTTAGGCGACCAGAAAACTTAATTTGGAGAATTCTCACTCTAAGTAAAGATGATGCATTTACAAATTTAATTTTTTTTTATCGTTTTTGTTTTATTTTTTTTTTTGCTTTTATGAATATAAATAGCGCCTAATAAGATTAGACAACAATACGATTTTTTTATAATTATATTGGCGCTATTTGTACGTACAAAAATATGAATTATATTATTCATAAAATTTGAGTTTTATTAATCAATATTTTATGCTTAAATTCACGCATTAATTCTAAACTATTAATAAATTAGATATTCATTGATACAACATTGCACAATCAATCTTACAATAATGAATAATTTAAACGATTTCTTTAAATCCATACTGCTCATTTGGTCTGACTCTCACTAATTAAATGCTTGTGTAAGTAAGCCGTTTTACATCACTACCCAAATTATAGTTATTCCATTGACATTTTACCCATGATTATTATGGGTTCATTTACATCAGTCTTTAGATGGTCATTTGTACCATAGTTATCGGAATAGTTGTTTGTACCATGATTGCTATATGGTCACTTGTGCCATAGTTATGTGGTCGTTTCTACCAAAAAAATGACCGTTTGTGCCATAGTTACATGCTCATTTGTACCATAGTTACCTAGTTAATTTTAGTAAAAAAAATGGCCGTTTGTGCCAAAAAAATGGTCACTTGTGCCAAAAAAATGGCCATTTGTGGCACGAAAATGGTCACTTGTGCCAAAAAAGTGGTCGTTTATGCCATAAAAATGGTCACGTGTGCCAAAAAAATGGCCATTTTGACTGCGTTACCGACAGACAGACGGACAGACAGACAGACACAGGTGAATTTCGGTTTCTAGACGCTAGCCTTTCAGTCTTGGGAATAGAAAGAAAATCTTATTTTATTGGCTTTGCGCGCCATTCGAAATATATATTTATTTTTATTTTAACGATCACATAGTTACCATATGGTAACCATACGTGTTACAGACAGACAGACAGACAGACAGACAGACACAGGCGAATTTCCGTTTCTAGACCCTATACTTTCAGTCTAGGGAATATGCTAATCGTGAAAAGCAATAAATTTATTTATCTTTTATTATTGTTGTGTTTGTTGAGCAAATGTATCATTTCCAAGAGACACTCATCTATTAATCTAATTTCTTGAAGTCTTCCAACATTCATTCAATAATAGTTACTTCATAAACTTAGAATAAAAACATCTCATTGTTTACAGTATAACTAGATTTTATAATTTAAAGAAATCAAAGTTTAACTTTTACAACTTTACTTATTTTAATAAGTTGAACATAGGTAATAGTCAACAAAATATGGACGGTTTAACCAGTACTTATAGTACTTATGATGATGCTGGATAAGTCGACGCAGCTCATCGAGTCATCGAAATGTTACGAAAGGAACTTGAATAAGAATATCTTCGTTCACAAGAGGCACAACAAGAGGCTAGTAACAATCATTCAAGTCAACAATCTGAAAGAAGCTAATTCTGATTCATAACCTTGATTATCTTTTGTAAAAATTCATCGATTTCCAACAATTATTTGCATAATTGCATAGTTATTTTTTCATTCAAGAATTATTTGTAAATATACTGAAATATTATGTAAAATACAGTTTCTTTTCAATATTATCCAATTTTTATTGAAATTATTTCAGTTAATATCTGCACTAAACAATTTCTTCAATAATTATTCATTTTTACTTCAAAACAATTGTTTATTATTTTTCTAATTGTTAAATATTGTTAGAAAAGATCTGAATTTTTGTTTTGTTTCTTTATTTTTACTTGTTGTCTAAATAATAATTATATCATTGATTTTAAAATACGTTTTTTTTTTTTATCTTAATATCGTTGTATCTTCAAAAAAGAAAAGACGAATCAAGTGAAGGCAACTAATTCCATCAACATCAACACAGTTTAAATCAATTGAAACTTAAAAACTACAATAATTAATAAAATGAATACAATCATCAAACAAAAAGATATATTTAAATTATGTATTCTTTTATTTCTTTATTTGATTGATGAAATATTGAAAACAAAAAACAACATATCGAATCTTGATTAAGAAATAAATCTAAAAAAACAAAACAGCTAATTATTGATGATTGTTTGAAATATGATGATTAATTTTTTTAACAAATAGTTGACGAGTTGAATAATCAAATTTTAACCATGTTGTTATTATTGATTTGAAACCACTAAGTAAATATGAAATATTATATCTATATTGTTCATAATTAAATGTTTTCAACCACATTTCATTTATAAATAAATATAATGGATCATGTAAAGAGCGTTCAATAAATTGTTTATTACCAAAAGCCATATAAATTTTTGTTAAAACATTTATAATAATATTAAAATTTTCTTTTATATTCTCATCAATTGAGTCGACATGCAGAGTTTGTCTTAATTTAAGTTCAAAATTTAATAGATATTCATCTTCAAGTAAATCATCATCTATACAATAATTAAACAATTTGAATATTATTATTTTTTTTTATCAAACACGATCAAAAAGGAATGTTCAACTCTATATGATTACAAAATTTATGACTCTCTCCATACATATGACAGACATCTTATTCATTAATAAGTAATTAATGGATAGTTTGAGAGCAAACATGTGCAGAACTAACATTTTTGTGGTTCCGGTCCTGGTGTTCAGAACTGGAACTGGTTCCATACATCTCTATTTGAGATTGATTACTGACTTCATAAATAATCGTTAACTCTAAAACGGCTACCAGGGATCTACTTGGATCCCAACTAATTTCATTCTAGTGTTATACATATACAACGTCAAATAAAATCAAGTCTCTTCAGATATGCTCTAATGAAATGTATTAGAGTATTTTAATAACATTTGTCATTAGGGTCCGCTTGGACCTCACATTCTCTTTCTAAATTTGCCTTATTTTTCAGGAATAAATTTAACTCTATGCTTCATAACGTTCTATTTGCTTAAAAGACATTCCAGAAGTTTCTAGTGAGGTCTAGAGCATGTAAAAATTTTTAGAACGTTTGATGCTGAATATTGAAATAGTTTTCAAAAAAAAATTCTATTACTTTCTGGAACATCATCTTTATCATATAAACAGCAAATTGTCATCATCAGTAATGTATTATTTTGTTCAAATTATGTTTCAGTTTTTTATTTTGATTGATCTTCAAGACAACTCTAATGATTCAGAGGATGATACTGTAACTGAACAATATTTGAGCGATGCCTCTGAGACAAGTCAAGTGAGAACTGAAAGTAGTAATGATGAAGAGCTGCTAGAGACTGTAGAGAACTCATATAGCGTAACATTTATTATGTACATGATATCTATTTTACTAGCATGAACTCCACACGGGTTCTAGGTGAGTAACAAGTGATAGTTCGAAAAATAGGCGTTTCAGGATTAATTAGTAATAAAATATTCGTCAGAGATTGTGACTGAAACGTCTAATATCCATGGCAAACACCTTGAAAATCAACAATTGCCTGTGAAAGATTCGATTAATATAAGATCAAAACTAACGCTTCAATAGCGTTTTAGTACATTATGAAAAATAATTGTTGGTTTTACTTTTCAAATAATTAATAAAACAATATTTTGAAAATGTACTTCGACATAGATTGATTTTTAAAAATTCCTTGGTATAAAACTAAAGTAACAAACCTTCACGTTGAATTTTTAAACTAATTTTTTTTAAAACAAATTGAATTGTTTTAAATGATTGTTTTCTCCATTGATCAACTGTTATATTTTTAATCATATGTAATGCTGATGTGTGACATGATGATTCAATATAATCATAAAAAAGAATTTCAATAACATTATTTAAAATAAGTTTTTCAATAAGAAATGAATTATTTGAATATGAATAAATATAATTAATTGCATTTGATAAAGTATCACCTAATGATTTGCGATATAAATCAATTGTTGCTAAACGATGAATTTGTTTTAATGCACGTATTGCTAGTTTTTCATCAGAACAATTAACAACTAATGACGATAAAATATTATTTACAAAAAATGAAAATTCCTAAAAAAATTATTAAAAATAAAATTTTTTTTTAATATTATAAATACTAACATATGCTGCTAAATCATTTTCAGCTTTTTCTTCTAAATCTTTATCTCGCTTATCATTTTCTAAATGATATTGTTCATTAGCTTTAATACGTAATAATCCAACATCAGGCATTTCATTTAATATAAGATCTTCTAATAAAGGATCAGACATTAATAATTCCTAAAAACAATATTTTAATTATTATATCATTTATTTAATATCTAATATATATTTATCTATTCGTTGTAAATTTTTTGTTAAACACAATCCGAAATAAGTGTTGAAATATATAGAATAGATATTTGCACTTATCTCTTCATCAAACTGTGACAAACAAATTCATCAATTAACTATTTCGTAAAAGAATGACAAAAATTAATTTATCTCTAATTAATATTTCATTATAAAATCATTAATAATTGATATATTGTCGCGAATTGTGTATTCAAACGTCTCTCGCG